AAAAAAAAAAAAAAAAATTATAAGCTAAATGCAAGACTATTAGTTTTCATCAATATATACTTTAATGTTTTATTAAATACATCTAAGACACCTGGTCATGTTGTAAAACAAAACTATAATTTTAAAAATCAATCTTTTAATTATCCCTAAAAGCCCCATGCTAAAGTTAACATATTCAAACACATATTTACTGAAGTAATAGAACTCCCATTATCACACTGCTGGCTTCACCAATAACTCACACATTTAGCTAAACATTATACTGCATTATTTATATTAGGTAATGAGAAACAAACTATTTGCTCTATATAATTTTAATCTCGACTTTACTGCATTTTCCAGAAATTGGATGAATTAAACCCACAATCCAAGGCTTTGGCAAACATGCATTGAACGCTATAAATATTGCACTGACATGCCTGTAATCCCAGCACTTCGAGAGGCCAAGGCAGGTGGATCATGAGGTCAGGAGATCAAGACCATCCTGGTCAACATGGTGAAACCCTGTCTGTACTAAAAATACAAAAACTAGCCAGGCATGGTGGCACGTGCCTGTAATCCTAGCTACTTAGGATGCTGAGGCAGGAGAATCACTTGAGCCAGGGAGTCAGAGGTTGCAGTGAGCCGAGACTGTGACACTGCACTCCAGCCTGACAACACAGCGATATCCCATCTCAAAAAAAAATTAAACAAAACAAATTGCACTGATAAAGATGTGCTGAAATCACTGCTTTGATTCTCCCCGCAAACCTGAGTATGTCAAATTAAGCTGTTTCTCTCAAAGAGCGGAAGAGCAACGGGTGTAATCAATAGCTGAAAAATCCTCAGAAATAAAGAAATTGGGGACTTTAGTGATTGAATAAATCTTTTTAAAAAGTTCCCAATCCTTAGCTTTCAATAAAATTGAAAGAATTATGAGATGGTAGACCATTAAAATACTGATCATAGATAACTATGAACATTTTGCAATATAACTTGAAAGTAAGTTTTTTTTCCTGAGACAGTGTCACTATGTCGTCCAGGCGACAGTGCAGTGGCACAATCTCGGCTCATTGCAAACCCCATCTCCCAGGTTTACGTGATTCTCCTGCCTCAGCCTCCCAGTAGCTGTGATTACAGGCGTGTGCCACCAAGCCTAATTTTTTTGTATTTTTAGTAGAGATGTTGGTCAGGCTGGTATTGAACTCCTGACCTCAAATGGCTCATGCCTCTAATCCCAACACTTTGGGTGGCCACCTCAGCCACCCAAAGTGTTGGGATTAGAGGCATGAGCCATTGAGCCCAGCCAGAAAGAAATTTGAATTAAGTGGTATTAATATAACAAAATTCCTCTGTTCCCTTTTACTATGTGAACAAGATTTCTCAGTAATTATATTAATAAAATTAAAAACGGGCTGGGCGCGATGGCTCACACTTATAATCCCAGCACTTTGGGGGGCCGAGACGGGCAGATCACCTGAGGTCAGGAGTTCAAGATGAGCCTGGCCAACATGGTGAAACCCTGACTCTACTAAAAATACAAATATAGCTGGGTGTGGTGGTGGGCGCCTGTAATTCCAGCTACTCCAGAGGCTGAGGCAGGAGAATTGCTTGCATCCAGGAGGCGGATTCTGCACTCCACTGTGCGCCACTGCACTCCAGCCTGGGTAGCATTGTGAGACTGTCTCAAAAAAAAAGAAAACAAAGAAAAAAGAACTTCGTATAGGCAAGATACTATTATTTAAGCAACCTAGAAATTCTTAATGATCACCAACTTTCCAGTGGGAATATGGCTTTATTTTACAGATAAGATATTCCCTTTGTGAAGAAACATGGGCGTATGTGATTTTAAAATGTAGTTTTTTGTTTTTTTTTTTAAAGTTTGTTGAAGCTTTAAAGAAAAAGAGTAAGGGTTGAAGAGAGGAGGAATTATGCTGTTAGCTAGCTCTGGGAATCCCATGGTCACACAGGAACCGGGATTCCTTGTCAACACGGAGTCTGGTTATCACCCTCAACTGCAGGCAATCATTTTGGTCAGGGAGACGTCTCTCCACACTTGCACCATCCTCACAGACTCAGGCAGGTTTCGATGGTCAAAGCTATAAGAACACTGGCCACGGACCACTACCTGGTACTTACTGTCTAGCACCAAGATACTCAGGTCAAATTCTTTGCCATCCTGAAAGGGCATATTTTTGGATTTCACCTCAGGCTTCCAAGCCCCCTTCTCATGGCTATTCATGACTACACAACAGCCAAAGTACACTTGGAAATGGAAGGTGACGTCTGAGTCCTCATTCGTCCTGGTATAGAAATCCACCTGCAGCTGTGGTTCACTGATGAAAGAAACAACTGTTCCCCTTTTGTCAAGTAGAAACAGCAGACAAAGCACAGCCTGTGTGTGTGACACAGGTGGTGCTGACACTGTCTCCCTCTGGGTGGCTCTTTCAAATTGTGTTGTCTTTTTTTTTTTTGAGCGTGTGAGTTTGCTTGTCCTAACCTAGTGTTTTCTCTTTCTCTCTTGCTCTGATATTTAGGGCAGATGCAGAAAGTGTTAGTTAAAGAAAAATTAGCCAGGTGTGGCAAAAGTCTGTGGTAAAAGCCAGGTGTGGTAAAATATTTACCTGTAAAGTATTTTAAGGCCTTACCTTTTGGAACTTTCTGCGTGTTTTGACATCTGCCCAGTGTCATCCAAACCAAGAAAAGAGAAGATCTGCATGATTATGCTGTCAGGCATTTGAACTAACAAATCAGAATTTCCCTTACATAGCTGACACAGATTCAAAGAATATTCCAATACCTCTTTAACAAAATTATTTAATAAATGGTTAAAATCATAGTGCCAAAAATACATTAACATTTAACAATTTCACTGAAAGGAAGAAAACTGTAGGATGCATAGTTTCAGAAAGCTATTTTAAGTTATTTACAAATAAAGTGTCTAAAAGTCATCTATGTGCTGTACCCACTTTATCCCTTCCTGAACAAAATTTCTGTTATTTGGGCAAATCCTTAAACCATGGTTTAAACCATAATGGTTACAAACCACAAACGCATCCATCCAAGACTGTGAAACCATTTTCATCCAGTCAGTGACAAAACTGCTGAAATGGCAATAGTTGAAGCTGTTGGGTTTTACATAGTGTGAAGTCTGATACATATCCCTACCGAAGGACTAAAACACAGCACAGGTGTGGCTGACTCACAAAGGTGATAACAAACAAGAACTGCTCTTTCCTCGACACCACGGCTCAGAGGCCACAATGTGGCTGACAGCTCCTCTGCTTACAAACATACGTTGACAGTGCTTCAGGGCTCGTACTGATCCAATACTAATTTTCTCCCCTATTTTACACATACTTTTCTACTGTCCAGTGAAAATCATTTGTGATTTGGCTAAACATCAAATACTAGTTTATACCAGAAATGTTAAAATCCACGAGAATTCTGCTCAATTTAAGACAAGATCACTACTTTCTTTAGAATGGCTTCTGTGTGTTTCTACGTCACCCTCTTTATTTTCAGCTTCGTTTCCTGGTAACGAGTAAGTGCTCCCTTCCAGTGACACTTGGAGTCACGTACACGTTTCTGGGATGCCTTCGCTCGTCCATGGAAGCCAGGTGCACGCTGTGACTCACTCTGCCTCTTCCCTGTTCTCAGGACCAGTCCCCGACGTTTCTGCCTTGCAGTTCCTCCCGCTTCCACCACACTCTCGAGCTCGGAAGCGAGCTCCCGGATCATATAGCTGCAAGGCCGGCCGGTCCTGCCAGGATAAGAGGGCACGTTACTCTTCCAAGGACCAGCAACGCAGAAAGCATCAATATCTCCCTGCATTTCTTGTCCTTTTTTTTTTTTTTTGAGATGGAGTTTCGCTCCTGTTGCCCAGGCTGCAGTGCAATGGCATGATCTCGGCTCACTGCAACCTCCGCCTCCTGGATTCAAGCAATTCTCCTGCCTCAGCCTCCCGAGTAGCTGGGATTACAGGCATGCTCCACCATATCTAGCTAATTTTGTATTTTTAGTAGAGACGGGGTTTCTCCATGTTGGTCAGGCTGGTCTTGAGCTCCTGACCTCAGGTGATCCACCCGCCTTGGCCTCCCGAAGTGCTGGGATCACAGGCGTGAGCCACCACGCCCGGCCTCTCCCTGCATTTCTAGAGCTTGCTGATATTAATTGTCCAAAGACAATCAGCCAGGCCAGACGTGGTAGCTCATGCCTCTATAACCCAAGCACTTTGGGAGGCTGAGGTGGGCAGATTACCTGAGGTCAAGAGTTTGAGACCAGCCTGGCCAACATGATGAAACCCCATCTCTACTAAAAATACAAAAATTAGGCCAGGCATGGTGGCTCACACCTGTAATCCCAGCACTTTGGGAGGCCAAGGCAGGCAAATCATGAGGTCAGGAGTTTAAGACCAGCCTGGCCAATGGGGTAAAACCCCGTCTCTACTAAAAAATACAAAAAATTAACTCGGTGTAGTGGTGGGCACCTGTAATCCCAGCTACTCAGGAGGCTGAGGCAGGAGAATTGCTTGAACTTGGGAGGCGGGGGTTGCAGTGAGCTGAGATCGCGCCACTGCATTCTAGCCTGGCATCAGAGCAAGACTGTGTCTCAAAAACAAAACAAAACAAAAACAAAAAAATTAGCCGGGTGTGGTGGTGGGTGCCTGCAATCCCAGCTACTTGGGAGGCTGAGGCAGAAGAATCCCTTGAAACTGGAAGGTGGAGGTTGCAGTGTGCTGAGATTGCGCCACTACACTCCAGCCTAGGCGAAAGAGCAAAACTCCTTATCAAAAAAGAAAAGAAAATCAACCAGGCAGCTAAAAATCAACCCTTTTCACAGTACTATCTCAGAAACCAGGCATTCTAAAGCAATTTAAAAAGCCTCGTAAATGTTGGTTATCTAGGCAAATCTTACTGCTCAAACCAAGAACATGTAATCTGTGGGAACAGTAGTACAATCATGGCATCCCCCTCTGAGTTTGGGAGGTGAAAACTCAAAACATGTCCACCTCAGTCCCTAAGCCTGAAACAAAATGAGATGTGGACCCTCAGAGATGGTTTCAGATCTGCAAACTGAAACAGTTATTAACGTGAGTAATAAGCAATTTCACGGGCTTATCCCTGCCTAGCATCTACCAGCAGGGAAACTGAACTGCCCCTTTTTAGAAAACACCACTCCATCATTTTATTAAACTCCTGGAGGCGAAGTAATAAAAACGACCCATAAAATCCATGAAGGGCAGCTATTCAGAGCCTGAGGACAGCAATAGCCAGGGAAGGCAGCGACTCCTCCCTGATGGGGCCGCCAGCCCTGCCCCAGCACTGAAGGGGCGGAAGGGAGGAAGACGGCTCATTTGCAGAAGCCTGTAGCCTCCCACTCCATGTGCCTCCCGCTCACTGCCTATTCTCCCTGCAGAGCTGCAGCCTTAGCCTCCAATGGCCGCCAGGAGCCCAAGTGTGGGCTGCACGGATGACCATGTGGGTGCATCTCACGTGCTCCTTCTCTGGGATTCACCAGCTCACCTTTACCTCCTCCTGGACTGTGTGTGGAAGCCCCCATCAGGTTACGCCAAGGGGGTGAACTTAATTTCTTTTCCTTGATATGAACCTGACCAATGGGAGGGGTGCAAACAGGCTCAGCAGGCCCCTGGACCTGAATCCTCCTGTGGGGCAGAGACAGGCTGCCTGGAGCCAGCGTGCACAGCTCTTACTTCTCACCAGGGCAGTGCCTGTGTACACAGACGGAGCACGGAGCCTGACCTTGGAAGTACATGACAAATGCCAGGCTCCCAGGAAGACAGCTCCTGCACACAGCGCCTCATTCCCACCAGACTCAACAGAGGAGCGAATGCTCCCCCACCTCAGGTCGGGGGGACATCAGACCATTCACTACTGCGAAAAGGCAACTGAAGACCTGTGAGCAAGTACCCATCAAAAGGACCCATGGCTGTACTTTGTGCCACTAGAGGTCTAGGCAACCCTAGAAAACTGTGGAGTATTCTAGAGGTGATCATTCAAGGGTGAGGACAAGAAGGCTCCGCTCTGGCTTTCAGCCTCTACTTCACTGAGACATTTTAAAAGTGAACATCGTTCATACATATGACAACCTGGAAAGATCTGAAAGGAATTAGGCTGAGTGAAGAAAGCCACTCTTAAAGCTGACATACTATGTATTTCCATTTATCAAGCATTCTTGAAGTGACAAATTCACACAGAACCGACAGTGGCTGCCAGGGTTACAGGGAGGGAGGGAGGTGAGTGGGAACTGCAGCCCTACGCAGCCCTCAGTTCGCTGGGAGGCTGGGGTGGGGCCTGGTGCTGTCAGGGAGATGATGCCATCTGTAGTGCTGCGCTGGGAAAATGCAATCTGAACAAAAATGAGCTTCAAGCTTCTGAAAAAGAAGCTGTTTGCTTGGCTAAGGGGGTAACCACAGTCCTGTGCTCACTGTCTGTGCACAACTAACTTACGGGTGTTTTTGAGCCATGGGATTATTCACTAATGATGAGAATGTTGTTAATAATGTGGAAGACAGCTCCATGAAATATCATTAAAACTTTCCTTCCAAGGGAAAAGGTCGTAATCCTTAATCTTATTCTCAAGCAAATCATATAAATGTGCTACTTTTAAACTAAATAAAATCTTTCTTTTTCCTGCTCAAAAATAATTTGATTCTCTGAGAAAAGATGATGACTAGTCTCCTCTACGATCTTTCAGGAATAACTGCTCTTGTAAAAGCACTACGCTCCCCAAGATGACATAAGGCCAAATGACATGGTCAGCGTGCAACGTGGACCTAAGACAGCCAGCCAGGTGTTTCTTTCTGGGTTTGATAAAAACCTTGTTTGCCAGTCGCTCCTTTCTGGGTGCTGGACTGTCGTCACACCTCTGAGCTCTCCCGGGTCTCTCCACGGCACCCCCTGGGGCCCCGCTGTCCTGGCTCCCCTTCTTCCCTCTGTCCTGGGCAGGTCCTTTCCCCCATCTCTGCTCATCTTCACTCCTTCTGGAAAGCCGGTCAGGCTCGTGGTAAGCTCTGTGCCTCCTGCCATCATCCACATGGGGTCTCTGTGCTTCAAGCTCTTTTTCTTGAGATCTCTCCACATCCCTGTGCTCTTTGTCACTGCCGTTGCGTGACCTATGTTCAACACAAATGATCAGCAACTGCAGTAAATGCCGGTTAGCTGCCCACCCTCCTTTCTAGACCAGAGGCTCCCAGAGGCCAGGGACAGTGTGACGTGCTCAGCACTGCGCTGCTGAGGCTTTACTGCGATGGGCACACAACAGGCATTCATAAAAACCACTGCGAAGAGGAATAAATCGTAGTAAAATTTGCAATTTCACTTGAGTGACAGATAGGCAATAAGATATGCTAAGGTACTTTTTATACATATTTTCTAATTCTCAAAACCCTCCAAAGTAAGTACCTTCTTTTGGCCAGGCATGGTGAGTAATGCCTGCAATCCCAGCACTTTAGGAGGCCAAGGTAGGTGGACTAACTGAGGTCAGGAGTTGGAGACCAGCCTGGCCAACATAGTGAAACCCCGTCTTTACTGAAAATACAAAAATTAGCCAGGTGTGGTGGCATGTGCCTGTAATCCCAGTACTTTGGGAGGCCGAGGCAGGCAGATCATTTGAGGTCAGGAAGTTGAGACCAGCCTGGTCAACGTGGTGAAACCCTGTTTCTACTAAAAATACAAAAATTAGCCAGATGTGGTAGTGGGTGCCTGCAATCCCAGCTACTCGGGAGGCTGAAGCAGGAGAATTGGTTGAACGTGGCAGGTGGAGTTTGCAGTGAGCTGAGATCATGCCACTGTAATCCAGCCTGGGTGACAGAGCGAGACTCAAAAAAATTAAAAATAAAATAAAATAAAATAAATCTTCTTTTATACAGATAAAGTGACTGAGACTAAAGTGGTCGAGCGGCTGTCCTGGGAACCCAGGTGTACATCCATTATGACCGGCAGCCCGAATACTGACAGCTTACTTTCTGCTTCAAGCACAGTCAAATTAACTGACACTTAATAATGGCAAATTAATTATATTTATGCATTTATCAGAATATTAAGTGAATAGTAAATAAATAAATGGCTGTTGAGCTCATTTGGCAGGGCTGGTAGGGATAAGGCTCTGTAACCAAGTATGAATTCATACCAGGCACATGGCAGTAGGCACTGCTGTATCATCAATAGTCATGGTAACACGCGTAACATAATCACAGTGCTTCACAATCATGGATTTGTAATCTCATATAAATTTTACAAACAAAGCAGTAAACCAAAACCCCCAAGAAGAAAAAAAATACCTCATCAACAACTCTGAAAGAAAGGCAGTGAGAAATCACTCCGATTACTGTGACTTTGGGAAGCTGGCAGCCTCATCCCATTAGGCTTCCCAACTAAATTCCATGTCCACCATCCCCTGTGAGCCAAGTGGCCCTGGGCACCAGGAGACCGTGGATGTTGAGATGTGGTGAGTGGGCAGGGGTCCTGGAGGGGAAGATAAGCCCAACCGCATGGGGCCCTGAGGATGGCGGGTACCAGGAGCAGGAGGGACAGGATCCCTCCCTACTGGCATCTGGCTGGTCTCTCTGGCCCACCAGGCAGATGCTGCTGTGTCTGTCCATTTCACAGATGAGCTCCATGTCATAAGGGACATACCTCCACAGAGCTGCATGCCATAAGGGACAAAGGAAAAGAAAAAGGGAGGACCCACAGTGCACAGACAAAGCTGCTGGTCAAGTTCCACAGCTAGAGGTGCCAGCGGGAGCTTCAACCAAAGGATTACAGTACTTAAAATTCTGTTTCTCTATCACAAAAGATCTGCCAGCTCTAAAAGATGGGGTTCTCAAATACACAATTCTGTAGATAAATGGCAGGAGAGATTAAAAAAAGAGCAAAGGGCAAGATATCACAAAACACAGAGAAAAAAAAAAAAAAAAAAAGAAAACACAAAGACTAAAAAGAAAAATCCTGAAGAAATAACATGCAACCGCAGGAATCCAGGAGGCAGCTCTGGAGTAAAAGGAAGAGGACATGGAGGCAACAGCAAAGCAAACAACAGGAAGAAATTCCCTGATCTGAAGACAGACTACAGACGAGAGAGTCCACTAAGTTCCTGGCATGCTGATGGGAAATGAAGGCTGACGTGTACTTGCACACCTTGGAAAGTCTTGGATTCCAAGAATAATGTGAAATAGGCACACTCGTACTGACAAAGCCTACATTGCCATGACTGGGAGCTGACGTGGTCCTAACAACGAAAGCACGCTCACATCTCCTGGGGCTCCTCCAGCGAGCCTTCCGCGGGCCTGACTTTTATGACTGCGCCGGGGGTACTGGATTCCTGCTTGCCAACTCCAGGATCAATCTCCTCTCCTCTTTCTTTTGGACTCTCTGTGGTTGGTTCCTCTCCCTTTTCTGGTTTCTTAAGAAGCTGAGAAATTATAATGTTAGTAAAATATCACCTCAAGAGCACATTCTAAAAGAAGCTGTTAAATAATTACAAATAGATCCCAATAATGAAGCCAAATGTTTGCACAGCAAAATAATGAAAGCTAAATGTCCAAAAATGAGGTTTTTGGTCGAACACCTGGTGGAACATTCAGTGAATGAAATATTTTGTAGTCACGAAAAATAATGTAAGATAGTTAATATGATGAAAAGATGTTCACATGATGAAAAACAGGCTAAAAACCAGAAAATGCACCACAATCCCACTTCAATTTATGTTCAAACACACATACAACACTGTCTAAAGGGCTCTGCAGCACTCTGTTAACAGTGATTCTTAATTTTTTTTTTTGAGATGGAGTCTCACTCTGTCACCCAGGCTGGAGTGCAGTGGCACGATCTCAACTCACTGCAACCTCCGCCTCCTGGGTTCAAGCGATTCTCCTGCTTCAGCCTCAGCCTCCTGAGTAGCAAGGACTACAGGTGCATGCCAGCACACCTGGCTAATTTTTGTAGTTTTAGTAGAGATGGGGTTTCCCCATGTTGGCCAGGCTGGTCTCGAACTCCTGACCTCAGGTGACCCACCTGCCTCAGCCTCCCACAGTGCTGGGATTGCAGGTGTGGGCCGCTGTGCCACGACAATAGTGATTGTTGCTAGATGGCAGAACTTACATGACTTTAGTTCCTTTCATCTACAGGGTCTAGTTTTTCTAAAATAGACAAGTATTACTTTTGTGGTAAGGAAAAAAAAAGTTTTTTAAAGGTTTCTTCCTATTGATGATTTTTAGAATATTTTATAGTTTTCAAAACATTGATTATTCTCTTTCTTGAAACAGAATTGATGAGCAAGTCGCTATGACATATTTCATCTGCCCTGTCTCCCCCTGGGCCTTTCTCCCTGCTCTCTGAATAAGTTTTGAAACTAAAGCACTTCAGCTAACTTGGGAAAAGAAAGAGAGAAAAAAAAAAAAAGAAGTGGAAGCATCACATAGAATATTTGTAGAACAGAAATGGAAGGTGAACTAAGAATTGTGTTCTCATTCATAAAGTAGACATACTTTAAACTGCAGCATAGCAAGACCATACACAGACGCATTCAATTACATGCATTCACTAGGGAACAAAACGCATCATGAAAACTGCTTCTCATCAAGCATGGGTCCTGTGTCAGCTGTGAACATCCTCTTATTCTGCCTATGTGGAATATGGGAACTTAAATATTTCCTTTCCAGTAACTGTTCATCCTTTTTTTTTTATTTTGAGAGGGAGTCTCGCTCTGTCACCAGATTGGAGTGCAGTGGCGCGATCTTGGCTCACTGCAATCTCTGCCCCCAGGGTTCAAGCCATTCTCCTGCCTCAGCCTCCCAAGTAGCTGGGATTATAGGCACGCACCACCACACCTAGCTAATTTTTGTATTTTTAGTAGAGATGGGGTTTCACCATGTTGGCCAGGATGGTCTCGATCTCTTGACCTCATGATCTGCCTGCCTCGGCCTCCCAAAGTGCTGGGATTACAGGTGTGAGCCACCATGCCCAGCCCTATCCATCTTTTAAAACAATTGCGGCATTAATATGTTTGTAATACATGCAAGCCATCGGGAAGTGCAACAATCTCCATCTACCTACTCAACAAATGTTCTGTGTGCCTAGGGACTGTTCTTACAACATTTCTGATACTGCACATCTTTTTCAATACCACCTCTCCGACACCAGCTGCATGCTCCACATTCAACTCAACTCTGAGACCATTGACCTGGAGTTAGCACCAGACCCCACAAGTCAAGGGCTCAGTCCCACAAGACTGCCCCTCCTTTCAGATGACAGTTCCAAGTCCCAGTGTGTCACCGGTACTTGTGACCAACCAGCAGTAAATTCAGGAGTTCCCAATGGCCTCTCCTTAGATTTGCTAAGTTGCTGGAATGGCTCACAGGACTCAGAAAGGCACTGCACTCTTGACTACCGGCTTATCATAAAGGGTACAACCTAGAACAGCCAAACGGCATGCACAAGGTGGGTATGGGGTATGGTGGGGTGGTCCTTGGAGCTTCCATGCGTAACCCACCCAGTATCTTGCTGTGCTCACCAACCCGGAAGCCTCATCTTTAGGCATTTTTAAGGTTTCATGACACGGGTATGATTAAGTCATCGACCACTGGTGATTACCTCTCTCTAGGCCTTCTGTCCTCTTGGAAGCTAGGTTGGGACTTTGAAAGTCCCAACCCTCTAGTCCTGCATTGGTCTTTCTGGCAACTAGTCCCCATTCTGAAGCTGCCAGTCCTCTCACTGGCATATAAGATACTCATATTACTGCAGATTCCCGGGGTTTGAGGAGCCGTGTGCAGCAAGCAAGGTCTAAGACGCTGTGCTAGGCACTAGGGAAATGGCTGTGAATGGGACAGACATGCCCCTGCCTTGAAGGAGCTCATGCCTGATTATCCACCTGAGGCAATGGTGGTCAAGGGGGAATGCTGTAAACAGTGGCAAAAGTAGGAGAAAAGAAACAAAGGAACAAGATAATCTCGGGTAGTATCAAAGGCTACGAACACATACAAAGGGAGAGTAAAGCAGCAGAGACACAGGGAGACGGGAAGAGAAGGTTCCACTGCAGAGTCAAGATCTAAGACCAGATGCTGAGGAGCAGCCATGGGCAAATCTGGGGAAGTCCCCGCGGAGAAAAACGTGCAGAGGCCTGAGGTGGAATCTGCTGGTGCATTCAGGAGAAAATAGCAGGCCAGGGCTGCTGGAGACGAGCTGGGGAGCAGGGCAGTTCTGCCGTGCCCCGTGAGGCTTCTGGAGGCCAACCGGAGTGCATGGGCAGCTGGGCTCCCTCCCAGCTCTTGCCTGTGTGGCCACACATAAGCTTACTGCTTACCATCCTCAGAGGAACATTAAACAGCTGAGCTGTTCTGTGTGCTGTATTTTTCTTTATTAAGAATAGCCATGAGGGCTGGGTGTGGTGGCCCGCGCCTCTCTAGTCCCAGTAGCAGGACGATCACTTGAGCCCAAGAGTTCATGACCAGCCTGGGCAACACAGTGAGACCCCCATCTTTACAAACTTTTTTTAAAAATTAGCTATTCAGCTGTGGTGGTGTATCCCTGGAAAGAGAGACTGAGGCAGGAGGATTACTTGAGCCTGGGAGATAGAGGCTGTAGTGTGCTGTGATTCTGCACCACTATGCTCCAGCCTGGGTGACACATAGAGACCCTGTCTCAACCTGTCCCCAAAAAACCAAATAAACAAAAAAAAATAGCAGAGAAGCCAGGAGGCATCTGTCTTTTAATCTTTATGCTCTTGATATAACCTAAAAGGAAAGTTGGAAAGTTGAAAAACAAAAAAAGGGACAGTGTCAGCAGCAACCCGACATGTGCCAGCGTGGGGCTCCTGTGGGGGTGTCCTCAGTGCACACCCAGGAGGACAGGCGCCCAACAACAGCCTGAGGACTCCCAGGGCTCAGGACGCGCTGTGGAAACCACTGCTGACATAGAAAGAAAGGGTTTGTAACAACACAGTATTACGTGAATTCAAAATGTTCTCAAAATTCTAAAGAGCTAAGATATGTAAAAAGGATAATTACTGTAACAGAACTATTGGAAAAACGGAATAAAATGTTTCCTCAGAATTACCTTAATCCTTACTTCTCTCTCTGCAGTTTTCTTCTGTTTATCTGTCTCCCTTTTTTTGCATCTTTCTTCTTCTCTTCTTCTTCTTTTCTCCTCTTCCCGCAAGCGTTTCTTTTCTAACTCTCTCCTCCTCCGTTCTTCTCGCTTCTCTTCCCGAATTCTCTAAAGACATGGAAGAATGTGTGTACGGACTGTCTGGATGAGAATGTCAGCAGCAGGGAGGGTATCCATCAGGTAAAGGCCAGACCTACCTGCTTTTCTAATTTTCTATTTTTAATATATTCCAAAAGAGGTGTGGTTCTTCTAGCTAAAACACAAAAATTGTAATGTAGCATTTAACTCCTAAAGAACGATTTACTTTAAATACTTGTTTTCAATTTAATCTTTAAAATAAATAGGGTAACAATATAATTACTTTTTAAATTTAACATGACCACACACTGTGTCCAGGGGAGAGTTTTTATTCCATTACTATCAAGTCAAGTAATTTGAAACTATCAACAATTTTATACGTAGTAGATATCTAATTCCTGATTCTTAAGGGAGGCTTAAAATACTACACAGGTGATATTTCTGTAGATACCTTAAGTTATTAACATGTATTTACTTTGATACATCACATATTCTGAGAATTTTTTCGTTTTCTGTTCTCCAAGTGATGGCTTTAAGAAACATGGATTCTCGTAATGTCTTACAATACATACTCCATAAAATCATAATGATAAGACACAACTCTGGACTGCAGTTTAGAAAAGGACTCCACATGGTGCTGTTGAGTTCTGAAAAGATGCCAACTACTAGGGAACTGCTCAGATATGACCTGGATGTGAGTGCCCAGGCAAGCTGGAGGCCCCATAGGCACTGCTTCAGAGGGACTCCCGCTGAGGGGGTCGGGCCCCATGTCCTGCCAACATGAGGACACAGGTGAGAAGGGGGAAGATGGTCTGGATTTATTCTGCAGGTCTCAGATTAAACAGGGTTGGGAAGAATCCCTGGATGCACCTGCAAACTGACACAACATCTCTGGAATTCTGAGGAACAGGTGTGAATCAGGAATCCTAGCAGAAACTCTGGCCAGGGATCCCTCACTTAGAACTGAGGACCCCTGACACCTTGACATCATGGATCAAATGGCACCTGTCCCAGGAGCCCTGCCCCAGGCATGGTGGCTGTAGGGAAGAGCTGATGCGGCTGCAAATGCCACATTTCATGGCAAGCACAGTGGCCACAGAGAACCCACTCCCCCCAGGGGTCCCTGGGCAGACCACGAACTCTGGCTCAGGGTGAGTAGAGCTCATTGGCTCAGGTAAAATGATCAGCTCTCTGTAATGGGCAAATTCTCTCAAATCAACCAGGGGTCTGCTCTGCTCTGTGAAGGCCTGGACTTGTCAGCCAGAAGCAGGGCGAGACCACCGAGAAGCACGGGGAGGCTGACCCCAGACTCTACCTGCCTGCCTTCCTCTTCCTACAAAATGCCTGCCCTATCACCCACAGGGATCACAGGAAAAGTACATGAGACCTGAGTAAGAAAGTGTTTTACACATCATAAATGTTATTTATCAGACAAAATATGCACGACCATGCAACAGAACACAAGTAAACAGAAGTCTCAGAGCTGAACCCAGGCAGTCTGCTCTAAAGGCCTACGCACCAGACTAACTCAACAACTCCAGAGCCCTTGCCAGTGTTTATTCATATTCCATTTAACATTCGCTTCTTAGATCTGTTCAGAAGAATCCAATGGAGGCCAAAACCTAAGAAAAAGATAATTTGCCACGAATTGCCTGATTAAGGTTAAATTTTTAATATGCAGAAACAGCAATCACAGAAACAAAGAAGGCTTTACAGCCAAGTCCTAGAACGAATTAATTGCTCCCATGAGGGACGGTGGATTCCAAGCCACATTCATTCATTCAGTCAACATTTGTGCTGCACTGGCTGTGCAGCAGATTCTGGGTGATGCCACCCTGATCCTCCCGCAGCCCCTGCAGGAGTAGTGAGTCTGATCTAGAAAGGTATGTCTCAAAACAGCCCTAAACGATCGATCCAATACAAGGAGACATTTAAAACAAAGTGAGAAGGAAATGCGAGGTCTGTAATTAACATCTAATTTGCTTTTTCTAGCTCTTCTTAAATTTATCAAGTTCTAAAGTGAAATCTCGACTTTGCTCCCAATACTGTCCTACCTCCATCAACCCTTGGGCGTAATGGTGCCACAATCCGCCCATCTGCTCAAGCCAAACCTTGGAGTCTTAATTTTTCCTGTTCCTAACCTGCCACATCCAATCCATCTGTTAGTCCTGTCCAGTCCATCTCCGAAACACATGCTCATCTTTTGGCATCCACAATCTATTCTGTGTGGCACCAACAGAGTAATGGGGACAATAATCAGACCATGCCACTCCCCCAGTGGTATCCAGTTGCCCTGGAATGAATCTAAACCTCTTGCGCAGCACTCCCACCCTCCAACCAAGCTGCCCTCACCCATGCGCGCCAGCCCCACAAGCCTGCACTCTGTACCTGAAGTGAAAAGCGCCAGCCCCCGGCCATGCCCTTGGCATGCCCTTCCTCACTGCTCAGCACAGCCAGTCTCAGCTCGTCTCCCGACCTCTTTCCCTCCTGTAGCCAGTCCCAGCTCCAGCTCCACCACCACCTCAGAGGGAGTCTCCTGATCTTCCCCTCCCATATGCCATTTGGTCACATCGGTGGCACTGATTACAACCTGAAGTGCCCCGGCTGGGCTACTCCCACTCCTGCTTCCAACCTGTTGTGTTCGATGGCAGGCAGAGGCCTTGTACGACCTGTTTATCACTCAGCCCTATGACGAGGCCCAGAGTCAGTGCCCAGGCAGCATGCAGCCTCAGCACATCTTGTTTAGTGATCAAAAGCTTTATTATGGCCGGGCACGGCAGCTCACACCTGTAATCCCAGCACTTTGGGAGGCCAAGGTGGGCGGATCACCTGAGGCCAGGAGTTCAAGACCAGCCTGGCCAACATGGTGAAACCCTCTCTAAATTAGCCAGGCATGATGGCAGGTGCCCTGTAATCCCAGCTTGTGGGCATTGGGTGGAAGGCTGGATTTAAACCCGATTGTGCTCTGGCTGGGCTTATCCACGAGTTGGCTTGGCTTTGCGTGGCTCAGGGAGCCTGGCATTTGTTTGGAACAGCAGCAAGACGACCTCACCATGAGCAAAACATCTCCTGAGGCATTGAACTGTGACCACTGACTTCAACTTTGTGACACAATACTCCTTCCCTGAAGCTGTCAGGCACATGCACATACCATTCATGTGTCTTCTCCATTGCTCATTAGGGAACATTAGAACTTAAAATGATTATAACTAAGAAAAATCAGGTGCTCTCCATCAAACAATGCTCAGAAACATTTTCCCATGTGGCCATCTTGCCATCTTTTTGTCAAAACTGCTAAGTACTCTACATTTCTGTTGAGCCTGTAACAAGTTTCAACTTGTTATCACAATCAAGAAAAAGAAGGAAAACGTATATTCTCTATGAGTGAATCTCTCAATAAAGAAAAGAGAAGAAATGAGCAAAACAGACCAATGAGCTCTCTTGTCTTCGCCTCCATCTCCCCCAGCAGAATCTCAGGGTTGGTGCTGGTCTTCTCTTCCTCCACACAGTAGGTTTCTAAAAACTTCTTATATTCTGGATCTATACATTAAAAAGACAGAAAGAAAAAAAGTACAATCTTTCCCAACTACAGGAGAATTAATTGGCTCAGTGTTCTTACTTTGGCAGCTTCATAATGCAGCACTTGGAAAGGGCTCACCGTCTTCGATGCTTCCAGTCTTGGCATCTTTTTTTTTCAGCTTCTTTTTGGCTATCTTCTGGAATGGAGCAAACTCTACCACTGCAGGATATTCTAGGCCTTTAACAGGAAACATATTTCAGAAGCCATTTTGAAATTCTACATTCATTTTGGAAAATAATGACCTAGCTTACTTAAACAGTAAGTGTAGGCTGCGTGCGGTGGCTGATGCCTGTAATCCCAGCACTTTGGGAGGCCAAGGCAGGCGAATCATGAGGTCAGGAGTTTGAGACCAGCTTGGCCAACATGGTGAAACCCCATCTCTACTAAAAATACAAAAAATTAGCTGGGTAGTGGCGGGCGCCTGTATGAGGCAGGAGAATCACTTGAGCCTGGGAGGTGGAGGTTGCAGCCAGCTGAGATCACACCACTGCACTCCAGCCCTGGCAATAGAGCAAGACTCCGTCTCAAAAAAAAGAGTAAGTATAACGATGACAATGTATTGTTACTATTTAAAGTATAATTCATCCTTCCAGTAAGAGATAAAAAAGTAAAAGATAAAAAACCCTGCAATTTAATTACATTTCCAAGTACCTGCAACCTTAGCATGGCAAACTCCAGACTTAAACAAGGATGAACTCCCGGTAGGAAGAACAATTATTTATTCCACAAAACAATTCATCATGTTGTGGTGTTGGTTACACAACTGGATTCGTTCAAAATTCATCAAATTGTTCACCTTAAAAGTGTGACTTTTACCCTATGTAACTTATACCTCAATAAACCTGACCTCCTTAGCTCCATCCCAAATAATTTATTGTTGGAATACCTCTAAGTAATTTGATTTCTTAGTTCCATTTTACATTTTATTTTAAAAAGTGAATTCAATTATCAATCTGTTACATAAGTTCAAGAAAATTACTTTGCTTAGAAGACACAATAGCTAAAAAAAGAGGGCTTCAAAGGATTTATAATATATTACAGGAGAAATTTGCTTCTGATAAAAGTAGAGAATGGAAATCATCTCTACTGACTTTGTTGCTATATGGGGCAAAAACAAATACACAAAGAGAAATGTTCACTAAGAGAAACTGCTATCTCCTGAATCATCAACAGAACACAGCTACGTTGGTACTAAACCTACTGAGTCATCCTTTTTAGACTTGTCAGTAATGGTCAGGTGACTGAATTATAACACCTTTATCTGGGAGATCATTTTTGTGCCAACCTGCATATCCAGAATAAAGTCAAGAATCTGGGAACTGCAGAGCACTGGACCTGCAGGGATGATGTCCAACCTACTGTTCCACCCACAAGGCCTAGCACACAGTGGATACTCAATTAGTGGCAGATGACATGCTCCACTGAGTGTGGTAGTGCCACACAGACAGACACATCCACCAATGCAATAAAACAGAGAGCCTGGAAATAAACCTTTGTATATTTGGTCAACTGATTTTTGAAAAGGCTACCCAGACCATTCAATGGGGAAAATAAAGTCTTTTTATTTTTATTTTTCGGAAAAGGAGTCTCACTCTGTTGCCCAGGCTGGAGTGCAATGGCACAATTTTGGCTCACTGCAACCTCAGCTTCCTGGGTTCAGGCAATTTACCTCAGCTTCCTAAGTAGCTGGGATTACAGGCACCCGCCTCTACACTCGGCTAATTTTTGTATTTTTAGTAGATAGGGTCTCACCATGCTGGCCAGACTGGTCTTGAACTCCTGACCTCAGGTGATCTGCCTGCCTTGGCCTCACAAAGTGCTGGGATTACAGGCGTGAACCACCGTGCCTGGCCAAAGAAAGTCTTAAGCTGGGAAAACGATATCCACAGCCAGAAGAATGAAATTGTATACCTAACACCATATACGAAAAGTAACTCAAAACGGATCAAACCTAAATATAAGACATGAAACCATAAAACACATAGAAAAAAGTACAGGGGAAAAGCTCCATGGCAATGAATCTGGCAATGAGTTACTGCATATGACACCAAAAGCACAGGCTTAGGCCGGAGGCCATAAAAACAAGGCAGGGCTACGGCTCACACCTGTAACCCAGCACTTTGGGAGATCAAGGTGGGAGGATTGCTTGAGCCCAGGAGTTTGATACCAGCCTGGGCAACATAGCAAGACCCTATCTCTACTTGAAAAACAAACGACATTGCTTACACCCATTACTGGAGATAGTAAAAAAGAAAACGAACAAACGACAATGACAAGTAGTACTGGCAACTAAGAGAACTGACTGGGCTCCTTGCTCACTACTGGTGGGAACGTAAAATGCTGCAGTCAGCATGATCTCAGCTCACTGCAACCTCTTCCTCCCGGGTTCAAGTGTTTCTCGTGCTTCAGCCTGTGGTAGCTCAGATTACAGGCATGCACCATGATGCCCGGCTAATTTTTGTATTTTTAGTAGAGATGGGGTTTCTCCATGTTGCCCAGGCTGGTCTTGAACCCCTGCCCTCAGGTGATCTGCCCACCTTGCCCTCCCAAAGTGCTGGGATTACAGGAGTGAGCCATTATATCCGGCCATGTTACATATATTTTACCACTATTTTTTGAAAATAAAAAAAGGAAGCTGAATAAAGTATGAAAAAAAGAGCAATGAACACGAAGGTCAGATAGTTCAGTTCAGGCATCACATTTGCTTCTAGTCACAGGAACCTAATTTAGCTATTACTTGGTTACTCTGCAACAATCTTTCTAGTCTTCACCCCTAAGGGGAGAAATTTCACCCCTAAGGGGAGAAAAAGAAAACACTCATCAGTGTCAGGAACAGGTGGAGAGGGAAGAGGGTGGCTGGGGAGGGGAGGGCAGAAAACAACTTGCTGTGAAAGGCACACAGACTTGACAGCCAGGGTTAGGGTCACGGTTAGGATTAGGGTTCCCAACAGCAGACAGCCTGACAGGAGAAGAAGGGAAAAGATCAAAGCAGAACGCTAGAAGTACTGGGAAGGGAACTACTGAAAGTAGAGGTGAAGACCACTGTCCCTGCAGGCAAAGCTGTGGAACAGCGGTCAGTGACTCCCCGATGACATTCTCATAAACGGTACAGTCATGAAGGGTGCTGTTTAGGAAGACAGAAGTCAGTGTACATTTTAGAAAATTCCTATCAAACAGGTCATTTACTTTTAGAACCTAAAAAGATAAAAGTTCTCTCAAGCAGAAAACTCACTCATTAAAACCTTCATTCTCTGATGATAATACATAAATAGGCTGTCACTATTACACAGAATTCCAAGAATTCTTTTGATTTAAATAAAATTAAATAATTTTAATTTTTAATATCCGCACATATAGTAATATAATGAAATTTCTCTTATTTTAGTCAAATAACTTTTTAATTAAAATGCACAAATGGGCCAGATGCTGTAGCTACATGCCTGTAATCCCAGCACTGTGGGAGGATCACTTGAAGCCCGGAGTTCAAGACCACTGTGTTAGATGGGCAACACAGTGAGACCCCCTTCCAGTCTCTACAATTTTTTTTTTTTTTAATCAGCCAATCATGGTGGCGGACGCCTGTGGTCCCAGCTACCTGGGAGGCTGGAGAATCACTTGAGCCAGAGTGTGAAGCTGCAGTGAGCCGTGATTGTGGCCACTGCACTCTACCCTGGGAAAAAGAGCAAAACCCTGTCTCAAAAAATGAAAAAGAAAAAAAAAAAAGCAGAAAAATTCTAGTAATACTTCATCAGTATACCTATAGATTATAATAGATTTTGAAAAACCAATGATCTAACCTTTGCTGTCAAGGAAGATATATCCATCAAAACGATCTCTAAAAAGAAGGATGTCATCAGGATTCCTAAAATTAATGTACGCTCTTGAATAGAGATGAGGATAAAGACTGAAATAAGAAACAACCGTGAAAATGGTTAGTGAAAAATACAAGACTCCATTAAATTAGTCTCTTTTTCCTTTTCTGGACACAACAAACTACTTTAGATAAAACTTTAGTGCCAAAGAGTCACCTCAGTTAATTGTAATAATTGGATATTCTTTAGAAAAAACAAACGCAAATGTTAACTGAAACTGCTTCAATAAGAGGGAGAACTCAAGTCCCTCCTCCACTGCCCAGAACCGGTCTTCCGAGGCTGAAATCCTAAGGCAAGGCCAGGGCCCACTCCCAGAGGAACCCGCGGCGCCGAGAGACTCTCCTGACTTGGGGACACTGTCTGGTATTTATTTATTCATTCATTTAACATTTTTTTTGAGACAGACTCTCGCTCTGTCTCCCAGGCTGGTGTGCTGCGGCGCGATTTCGGTCACTGTAACCTCCGACTCCGAGGTTCAAGCGATGCTCCGGCCTCAGCCTCCCGCGTCGCTAGGACTACAGGCGCCCGCCGCCATGCTCATCTAATTTTTGTATTTTTAGTAGAGACGGGGTTTCATCACGTTGGCCGGGATGGTCTCGATCGCCTGACCTCGGGGTGCGCCCGCCTCGGCCTCTCCAAGTGCGGGGACTACAGGCGTGAGCCACGCGCGCGGCGCTGCGGGTATTTAAAGCCGCGTCCGAGCAGGGAGGCGCCGCGCGGGCGAAGCCGGTCCCCTCCACGGCGCGCGTTCCCACGAGCGTTGGCGCCTGAAATCTCCCGCACTTTTCTGTAAACCGCGTCTGTGTTTGCTTGGTGGTCACACGTTTCTTTGGACGAACTGACACTTTTTACTAAAATGTAATTATTCAAAAAGCTCCCACGAGTCCCATAAAACCAAAATCAGGGTGAGGAACGCATGGCAGCGACACCGCGCGCCGCGCTCCGGCTCCGCCCTCCCCACCCCTAACCGCCGCCTCCCCGTCTAGACTCGCGCGCGTGTCCGCGGGGCGGGCCTCACCTCAGGTCGGCGGCGAAGAACTCGAAGTAGTCGTGCGCGGGCAGCGGGTGCAGCTGCTCCTCCAGCTGCTCTTTGGTGAGCCCCGGGGGCAGGCGGCGGATGACCACCTGCGGGAAGCGGGCGGCCGTTCCCACAGCGGCAGGATCCGGACTCGGCGCTTCCGACCTCCCCCTCCGCGCAGGACCGTCCTCTCCTCGCGACGTTTGCGAGCCCCGCCTCCACGCACGCCCGTCCCCTCCTCGCGAGGTTTGCGCGCCCCGCCCAAGTCCCCACCTTGCTCAGGGCCGTCCTCTTCTCCTCGCGAGGTTTGCGCGCCCCGCCTCTCCCGTTCCCGTCCCCTCCCTCTCCGCGCAGGGCCGTCCTCTCCTCGCGTGGTTTGCGCGCCCCGCCCCCGTCCCCGTCCCCGTCCCCGTCCCCACCTTGCTCAGGGCCGTCCTCTTCTCCTCGCGAGGTTTGCCCGCACCGCCCCCACAGCCGGAGGACGACGTTGGCGGCGTCTCCGGCTCTCGCTGCGGCGAATCGCGGTGGAACTGCACCTCTACGGCCGATAGCTTCTCTCTCCCGCTCGCGCCTCGCGCGGCAACGGCCGCCCTCGGGCCTCCGGCCCCCTCCTTTTCCGAGCGCATCCCGCACCCGCCGTCGAGCCGCAGCCGCCGTCGAGCCGCAGCCGCCAGACCCCCGGCAAAACCTCGCGAGAGCTCGGCCGCCCCCGCTCCGCCCCGCCCCTTCCCGGGCCGCGACGCTCGGGGCCACCCACCAAGGGGTCTGGGCGCTGCGGGACGGGTTGGGGTCTGGGTCAGGACCTCGGCAGCGAGCGGCCCCTCACGGAGCGGTGGCGGCAGCTTGGGGCGGCCTCTAGGCCGGGCGCTGCCCCAGGACCCCGCGCTCCTGCAGTGGTGGGAGGAGATCGCGGACGGGCGGACCTCCCTGCGGCACCGGTTTTAGCCCCCACCTCCAGGACCTCCAGGCCGGGGCGCCCTCAGGGCCGGGTTCGCATTTGCACGTGTTTTTTATAAACACACGGGCAGCAGCACTTTGATTAGAGTAACTTATACGGAAGTTATTTTAAAAAGACTTTCCCATTGTCTCAATGTGGGCTGTATTTTTCATCTGCAGCACGCTTTAACCCGAGAATCTCAAGCACACACAGGAAACTAGAAAAAAATTCTGAGGCTTGAACAGATCGGGAGAACAAGGGCGTCACTGGCAGAAAAGCGGAGGCGAGTCCGAGCCCCAGGATGCGGCCGCTCCTTACCGGAGAGCCGCCCGCCCCGAGACGTGGCTTCCTAGGAGCAGTTCACACGCAGCTCTGCGGCAGCGACCAGCGGAGCCAGGGGGGCTGTCTTCATAGTTCACCGTCTACAGGGATCTTAGCAAAAACACGCCCATGGTAAGGGTGCCTACACCAGGCTTTTGTCACAACTCAGTGACTGGGAAGACTAGGTAGGCTGATCAAAAGCTCTGACGTTGTGTGTGATTAAAAGTAGGAAAATGTGGTCGCCAGATAAAATGTTTTAACATACAGTGGGGCGGGAGGGGGGGAAGATGGGGATAAAAAATGTGGAAACCATTTATTTTAAAATTTTGACTGTTCCTGTAGTCTAAATATATTCTGATTATCTTTAGAAACTGCTCTCAATCTATTTGTATGTCTTCCCTCTAGTTTTAAAATATTAAACCATCATCTAACTCACTATTTTACCTCTAGTCATGTTACCAGGTTGGGATAATAAAAAGGACAGTGAACTTCACATTTGCTATCTATAACAGATTCTTATTGAAGCAGTCTTGCACCAAGAGGATTTCTTACTCAGCCAAATCACCAAATGAAAAAAGGGCTGGTCCCACCTCTCACCAGGCACAACCATGTACAGTGACTTAGGGTATTTCTTGTGTTCATGTTTTGCCCTCACCATTCATTGCAAAGCCCTGTCCCCTGCCTAGTGCCTCTGCACACCTCTCTGAGGCCAGGTTGGCCTCAGCCAGCGTGAGGGACCCTTCATTTGACCTTCTCCAGAACCTTGAGCATCTCCACTTTTCACTGCACTGTATACCTAAATGCTGGATGCGTATATTTTGTAAACTTAGCAAGCAAAATGCCCAAATGTTTTTTCTCCCGAAGTCAACTTTTTAACCCCCTTCTGATTCTCTACTTCCTGTTATTGCAAAGTTCTGAAAAATGATTTAAAAAAAAAATGACAGGATTTTAGAATTCAGTTGTCTTGACGAATCTTTAAATGAAATCTTATATGAATTTTAACGTACAGCGAATGAAATACACTTGTAAAATACCTTATGTTACATGACAAATTATATCACAAAGAAAATCTAGCTTCCTACACATTAGCCAGCTTGTTGAAATGCTGTTTTGATACGTGCACAGAACTTTACAGCCAATAAAGCAGGAATAAACAATCTCCAAACGTCAGAATGAAGATGGTATGTAATTTTACTTTTGCTTAACTGAACACTTCCATCTGTGAATGTGGCCCTGGCTACATTTTACTTGGTAGCCCCTATCTCATTGGTAGATGACAGTGACTTGAAGAAGCTAGTGACCAGAAGCTGGTGACTTCCAAGTGTTTCCTTTAAGGATGATAACACGGCCACTGTGGTTAGCAAGAAGGACACCTTTTTAAGAAACTGTCATGAGATACTAGAGAATTGGGTAGTAACAGGAACAATACTTGGCAGTATGATGGCACATTCTTGTTACTCTGAGGCCTAAACACTGTTGTTAACACTGCTGCTGATTAGAATTACAGCTTAGTCAAGTGTCTGAACCTTTTCCCTTTTATGTCTTAAAGCACTGTTAACAGAGTAATGGCTCACCTAGAAATCCAAAAAATCCTAACAGGTAATCAATGAGAAAATGAAATTTTTTTTTTTTTTTTTTTTGTTGCTCTGGCAGGCTAAATATAAAAATTCAGCACTTTATTAATAGACTAATTTCATTTTAGTTATTTTAAACATAAGTCAGTCACTTGATTTTCTGGCCCCAGCTCAAGACAGGGGAGGCATACATAATAATGCCTGACAGAAAAGCCATTTAAAAATGAAAACATGAAAATGCATTAGTTTGAGTCTAATTTAGCATGGGGTAACTTATGGTCTCTAAGTGTATTGCTGCGTTAACTTCCAGTGCAATACTTGACTTTCACCATGGTAAGTGGAGACAAGATGGGGTCTGAATGCTGGTCTTCAACACACAACGTTGCTAGACCCTCATCTGTGTGAAGGGAACAAAGCCCTCCTCAAAAGATTTACTCAAGTTAACACCTGGGGATGCTCAAGAAATGAATGCTATTATTGTTCTGCTTCAGAAGGTAGAAATACAGGGAATACACTTTAGATAGGTTAAGACAAAAAGTTTTATGTTTAAGGCAGCACTTCAGTTGCCTGAAAATTCACTTCTGTATAATGCCTAATTTGTTAATGATGCTGTGAATAGATGTTTTGTAAAACTATACTTTTTTTTTTTATGAAAAAGGGTAATGTGTCCTCTGACGTTAGGACTAGGAGAGTTTGAAAAAAGGACTTTAAACAAATGAAGCATATAATCCTGTCTCTACTATAATGATGAAAAGAATGGGGGTGTTCTCTGCTTACACAGTTATCGCCTAGGAGTTATAACAAAATTCTTTTGCTAATCACAGTGAATAGGTTTAAAAAAAAGTTTAAAGATTACAGATTTGGTCAAATTGTCTTGTATCACCTTTTTAAAATACAAATTTTTAACATATCTTTTCAGGCCGGGTGCTATGGCTGACGCCTATAATCCCAGCACTTTGGGAGGCTGAGGCGGGTGCATCACTTGAGGTCAGTAGTTTGAGATCAGCCTGGCCAACGTTTAGTACAGATGGGTGTGGTGGCATGAGCCATCTCTACTAAAATTAGAGATGGCTAATTTTATAGCCATCTATACTAAAAATTAGCTGCGTGTGGTGGCATGAGCCTGTAGTCCCAGCTACTCGGGAGGCTGAGACAGGAGAATTGCTTCAGCCCAGGAGGTGGAGATTGCAGTGAGCCAATATCATGCCACTGCACTCCAGCCAGGGCAACACAGTGAGACTCTGTCTCAAAAAACAAAACAAATTTTAACATATCTTTTCACAAAATCAATCACCAGTCAAATGTGTAAAACTATGTAAGAAATTTTCCTTCTTGGCTCCAATAAATGGGGCATTTCCATCTGTTCTGTCATGGCTGATTTCAGATGTTCCTACAAAACAGGTAATCTAGCTATGACATATTTTAAATCTCATTAGTGATAGACACCTACTTATTTCACAGATTCAGTTTTCAATCTTACGTGAGAAAATTGCAGATGATGTTGAAACAATAAAAACAGGCCAAGAGAGCCTATCACATTTACCAACAGGTAAAGGATATGTCACCAAATTAGTATCTGAGAAAATAGGTAAAATTCAAATTCTTTATCTTATACACACCAGGAGGTAGAAGTTATAAATAATAGTGAATCACATTTATTTTATAGAACACAATTATAATTTAGCACCAATAGCTGTTCAATTCTTTGGGCTTTTTAAAGCATCACAAAATGTA